AGAGAAAAATAGAAGTAGAGACTAATTTGTCTAGTCAGTATGTAATTTTTCCAAGCTACCCACAGGCTTATAATCATAGCATTAAGTTTAGCAAATTTTTTGTTTTGTTTTTGTTTTTTTCGATATCCCTTTACCCCCTTTTCTTTCGTTTTTTATATTTTTTTATTGTAGTCCCCTATACCTCTGTGTTTTTTTTTAGTTTGTTTTTTCTGATTTTGCTTCTTGATGAGCGGGTAGCCGCCAGCTGATGAACAACGGGAAAAAAGTTCTTAGTGAGTTAAGGACCCTGAGGGAGGCCAAGAGCTACTGAGACAGGTCGTACCTGATGTATAAAATCATGTGTGTGAGTTCTTTGTTTGGTTGGATCTACTGTAGTTAGAGATAAATTGCTTGTAATTTTTTACTTGTAATTTTGAATAACTTGATCTCAAATAAACAAGAGCAGGACAGCTGAATTAGAGAAAAAAATATACTAATGATAACTAATAATAAACTTAATAATAAAACTAATACTACAACTCATTCCATATTGGCATATTTAATTCAAACCCTAAAATTAAAATAAGGCACTAATTTAATTTAGTTTTTCTGGATCAGCTTAAATAATAAAAAATAATTTAACTAATTAAAATTTTAAAAAATTACTATATATAAGTATTAAAATAATCTATTTTAAATTTGTTTATATTATAGTAAATTTTAATTTATATTTTGTAAATTAGTATTGACATGCTAAAGATACAAATATTATTATAAAAGAAGAAAGTAATTATCCTCAAAGTTCATTTATCAAACTTTTTGATAAAAATAGATCATTTTATTATGAAATTATTAAAGAAGGAACATATCCACCTTCTAATCAATGCTATTATACAAAATACTTCAAATATCTAATTCCTAATAATTATATTGTTAAAACTCAATACGGTAAAGCAAAATATCTTACAAGATGTTCTATTCAATATAAAAATAAAAAACCACAATTTACTATTCAGTTTGGATTAAATTTTATATCAAAAGTTTAATCTTTCAAATCTGCAACTGATGTGGCATGTCAATATTATAAGGTATATATTTTTTTGTTAATTTTATTTTAATTATATATAGTATATATTTATTATAAAATTTTTTATTTAATATATTGTAAAATAGGAACTAAATAAAATAAAAGCTCGAACTAATACCAAAAAATCCAATATAAATAATAAAATTTCAAAAATCTCTGGACCTTTATTGTTTGGTTTAACATTACTTAGTGTTAAAAATATATACCAAACTTTGCTTTTTGATTATAATTCAAGATTTCATCTTTTTGAAAATCTTAGTATTTCAACAAAATGTCGTAAGGTATTAAAAATAGCACATCAAGTTTTAAATACAGTTGAAGAAGAAAAAAAAAATTTTTTTTATTCTAATGACAATATAAAAATTAAACGTGTTCAATTTGAAATTGGAGATGAACAATTTGATATATACTTTGAAAAATTTGATGAAAAAAGTAAAAATGAACGAAAAGAGGCAATTGTCAAGTTATTAGATTGTGCCAAAATAACAAGAGAAGCATTTAGTCATTAGCACAAATTGAGCATGAGATTCCACGTAAAGGTGCCATATCTGATATAAAACAAAAAATAAATTTAAAAATGAAAAAGCAAATTCTACTTTTACTTATAGATATTTTGCAACCAATAGTTTTTGAGGAAAGTGAAGATACACCAGATATTAATGATAAGAATATTGTTACAAATATGTTAGAATCAATTGGAAAAGAAGGACAGTGATACATTACAGATATTTTAGATTACATTCTACCTTTTTATATTAAAAAAATATTCTAATTCCTAATATATCAACTTTACATATCTGAATCTCTGACGATGGAAGGAATGTTGAAAGAAAAGTAAAGCACGTAATGGTGACTATGATATTATTAAATAATTTAGCAGAGTTACAAAAACCAGATAATCACTATACTCTTGTTTTATATCTGGGTTCTGAAACATATAAATCATTAAGAAATACACTTGCTTCATTAATTTTAAACCTTCAATTATTACAAGAAAAAGGTTTTCAACAACTTAATGGTAGTCAATGGCCAGTTAAATTATACTTTAGCTCGAATTGAAAATTTTTAGCTACATGTCTTGGAATGAAAGCTGCTAATGCTAAACATTTTTGTCCGTGGTGTAATTGTACTAAAGCAAATATTGGTAATACGAATAAGCAAATTACTAAAACTATAAAAATGGTTAAAATTAACTATTCTAAAATAAATAGACATTTAAATAAGCCCTTATTTTATATGATACCTCTTTACAACTGAGTTTGTGATGAGTTATATGTTTTTTTAAGAATAACAGATCATTTATGGGAGTTAATGTTATCTGATCTTAGTCAAGAACAAGTTGAAAAAACAATTTGACAATCAAAAATTTTAGATGAAATGAAACAACTTAAAGTAGCATTTCAATTTTGGAATGATAAAAATAATAACAATTTATCATATACTTCGCTTATGGGTTCCAACAAGTTAAAAATTTTACAAAATTTTAAACTTACAGCAGTTTTTCAATCAACTACTCGAGCAATACAAGTTCAAAATCTTTGGAGTCAATTTTATGAATTGTATAATCTAATGCAAAATAAAAAAACTACAGGAAGAGTATTTCGTGAAAAGGCACAAAATTGGTTAACATCCTTTTTAGCACTATCTCAAGGTAAACCTAATAAGAGCAATTTTGTTCAGGAATGTATTGTATACAAAATGTTACACCTTATATCCACGTATTGGTAAATCACATACCTGAGTTTTTAGATATTCACAATGATTTTGGACTTGCTGCATTCTCATGTTCCACTGTCGAAAAAAAAAACTATATACAAGTTTGTCAGTATTTTTAAAGTACATTGAAAGATGAAGGTCATGAAAATTTATGAAGATCAGCAATTTTGGAAATTTTGGAGCATGAGAATCGACAACTTTACTTTACTATTAATGAAACTCCAAATTTTTTTAAAAAATCTAAAAAATATAGACTCAAATCTGAATAATATAACAGGTATATAATAATGATAATATTTAATTTTAATAAAAAGTTAATATTAATTTATCTATTAATATTTTAAAATTCTTTTAAAGTTTAGATTTGCTCTTCAACTACCAGTACTTACAATAACTGGGTTTATGATTTTTGCACAAATTTTATTATAAAAGATTTTTTTTAATACTTCAATTCTCTTTTATAATTATTCAAAAATTTGAAGTATTAGTTTATTTTCTATTCGAACCAATAAAGCAAATTATATTTTGTTAAGCTAACCTATATAAGTGAATATTTATATTATCAGTTCAATCTTTAAATGTATTCAAATTAATAAGGATTTAATATATTAGTAAGTTTTTAATATACATTTTATTATTATTACTTTGATCTAATATTTTTTTTATTTTTTTAGATTGTTTAAAATACAAAAAACCTAAAAGCATATTAGCACTAATAGAATTAGTGTTAGGTCATTATAGAAGTTGATATTGTAAATATCAATACCCAGGGGTGATTACATTTATCTTTTCGCTATATGATATTATATTTGTTGAGCAACCTTTATCTCGATGTCTAATTCTGATATTGAGGTATAGAATAAAATTTTTTTATGCTTTTGCTATTCTACACAATTAATATATACATTTTTATTCAATATAGTGCTTTATAAAAAAAACAAATATATATTACGGACTATGGTTATCATTTTAGTGAATTTTTGACAACTCAATTAGTAGTGATACTGATCTATTTGAAGTAGTCATGAAAAGCTATAAAAAAATATATCATATACTTTCATAATACGCAGAAGAGATCTTGATTTATATGCTTAGTAAACTGGAAATGTTAGATATCTGATGATCGGCTAAAATAGTTCACAAGAAAACAAATATAGATACATATAGATTGTTTAGTAAGTTTGCAGAAATACTAACAAAATGTCTTAAGAAACCCTTTAAGTGGATAATATTTAAACTATTACCATTTATAAAATTTATATATCCTACAGAGATTGCTCTGTAGATTTCGGAAAGATAATTGTTTAAATTCTATACTGATTCAAGCTTAAAAGTTATTAATATTTTTAAACTATTTATTGGTATAACATGATAAACTTACAAACTCTACAGAGATTAGTTTCAGAAGTTTTGAAAAGATAACTTCTTTAATTGATACAATTCAAGTTCAGATTAAAAATTATTAATAATTTATATTTGAACTATTTACCGATATAATATTAGATTCCATGAAGTTTGTTATAAGGGTAATTTCTTAAATTCGATACTGATTTTAAGTTTATTAATGTATTTGAACTACTTACATAATGCAGAATTTACAGATTCTACGAAGATTGGTTTTGGAGGTTTGATAAGGTAAATTTGATACTAATTCGAGTTATTAATGTATTTAACCAGTGTTATATTCAAACTACATCTCTTAATAGTAGTTCAAGGAACGTGCAGGTTATAGTATAAGGACTATAACCTTATGATTTGATTAGATAAGGACGTCGGATATACAATTTAACAAAGAGGTTTTACTAGGCTTTATCGAAAGAGGCTGCAACTAAATGTATATGAGGATACAAATAGTTGTAATAATTATAAGGAATAATATTCATATAAAATATATTAAAATGTATAATGCTTAGGTAAGCTCACAGATATGGATGTCCTTGAAAGTATATGAAATAATGTAAGTTTTATTTAATTAATAAATATTGATCATGAAGTCCCTTCATGATAACTACATGATCAAGATCGTTATGCCACTTAACGATATAACTAAATTTGACGTGTATGAAGACACGATTATTTATTATCAAAGATAGGTAGAGAAATATAATATTAAATATAATATTATAAGGAAAAGGAGAAGTCAAGCACACCTTTACTAAGGCAAAAGGTAAGGTCTTTTATATGTGTTTTGTCGGCTATAATATACAACTCTTTTACCTTTCTAATATCTAATATTAACTACAACTCTTACTAATCTTATTAACTACAGCGTGGAAGTTCATGAAGATATGAGGTGAAGCAAAATAGTATGTTACGCATGAGCTTACCCATAAGGGATCGATTAGATCTACATTCGATCCTTGAATATCTTCACATTGGAATTAAAACTATGAGAATTATATAATCTAACGGACATCAATATCTGCGAAGTCAGAGGGTAAAAATTCTATGTAATATCAGAATAACTTTAAAATTTAGATTCTACGAAGATCAATTCTGAAAGTTTTAGAAAGGTGAATTCTTAAATTAAAAATTATTAATATATTTAAACTACTTACTTATATAATATAAATTTATAGTTTCTACAAAAATTGGCTTCAGAGGTTCTGGAAAGGTACTCATATATTTGGATTGATTAAAGGTTATTAATAATTGTCGCAGCTGATAATGAAATTTGGACCTATATGAAATTTTGAATTTTTTTGCTATATTTTTTTCGCTTTTTTTTTAGGGTTAGGTTAGGGTTTAGGATTGGATTTGATATTTAAAGAGTGTAGATAGATTTTACAGGCTTATGTAAGCTACCAAATTTCAGCATCAGCTGCGAGAATAATTTTATTAATACTTGAACTACTTACAATTGGAATATTATAAATTTATAGGTCTTGCAAAGATTGGTTCTGAAGGTAATTTCTTAAATTCAATACTGATTTAACTTTAAATTATCAATATATTTGAACTACTTACTGGTATAACATAAAATTTATAGATCTAACAAAGATTGCTCTAGAGGTTTTGTAAGGATAAACTTTTAAATTCAATACTAGGGATGGGTTCGACTACGATGGTATGAACAGAAATTAATTCTGAACAACTTTAATTAAAAGCTCAAGGACAAAAAATCATCTCAGTATTTCTATGAATAATTGTCGCGGCTGATGCTGGAAACGGCTGAAGCTGGAAATCAGAGACCCTGATTTAAAAATATAAACCCTGCCAAAA